GGGGGGGGGGGGGGGGTTTAGCCGCTGCCGCGGCGGGCGGACTGGGGGGAGGCGGCGGCGGCTCCATGTACAGCGATGTCAGCACTGGCTTAACGTGGAGATCGGGCACCGCCAGCTCGGTGTCGTACCCCAAGCAGATGCCCTTGTCTCAAGTGTGAGAGGGGGAGCGGCCAAGGGCAGGGAGCGTGGGGCGCTGACCTGTATGAAATGCTCCTTCGCTGTTTGGTGCCATTAATGAACCCCTAATGGTCCCCATTAGCTGCCGCTTGTGCAGAACAATGCAGCCGGTAGAGGCCTCAGATCGGGCACCGCCAGCTCGGTGTCGTACCCCAAGCAGATGCCCTTGTCTCAAGTGTGAGAGGGGGAGCGGCCAAGGGCAGGGAGCGTGGGGCGCTGACCTGTATGAAATGCTCCTTCGCTGTTTGGTGCCATTAATGAACCCCTAATGGTCCCCATTAGCTGCCGCTTGTGCAGAACAATGCAGCCGGTAGAGGCCTCAAGCACCAGCCCCCTCCCTCCTGGTCTCCATTCATATGCAGGGAACATGTACTTCAAGGCGTCAGCTTATTATTGTGCTGGCAGAAAAGGGTGGAGGCTCAACACTTTCTGTATCTACCAGAACGAGAAGCCGCTTCTGATTCCCTCCTTGGACTTACAGCCGATCTCCGGAGGTAGTCAGGCTAACAGGAAGAGATAGATGGGACTGCAGCTTTTGAGTATTTGTAATGGCCAGGCAAATGCCTTAAACACACACACTCAAATCATGTCTTAATTATACACCCAAAATAAATACGGGTTTTGCAGTAAACAATGTATTTATATAATTATTTGTTACTTTGTACAAATGTGTAAGATATGTATATATCTAAAGCTATACACTGTAAATTTTTTTGTAAAAAGTTTAGAGGCTCCCCCTGTAAGAGCAAATATTTGAGTATTCTATTTTGTCAATAAAATGACTTTTGATAAATGACTTCTCCAGGCTCCCCCCTCCCTCTTCTGGAGATAACTCCAGATGCTATTAGTAGTTATGTTAACAATGAAATTCTTAATGCAGTTGCCTATATATGTTAGAATGAGACTAAAAGGGGGGGGGGAATTGATTTGCAGAATACTCTTAAAACCTGAAGTGCCTTACAAATTTTCTGCTTCCTGCTTTAAGTCATGATACTGTATTTAAACTAAAGTTGTACAAAGCAGTCTCCCACATGCCTTGTTATAGCCTGTAAAATGGATGTTATTCTAGGAATGCAAATACTCACACTACCTCATCTATTGTCTGTTTGTAATCACCTGCCTTTAGAAGCTGTATACTGCTAAAGTGTAAAGGTTAATATTTCAAATCCAGAGATCATGTTTTTACAGAAGAACAAAATTGTTCAGTCTTTTCCTTAGTTTTAATCTATTAACAGGTTAACATCTTAACCTTTCATACTTAACTTTCGTATATCAAATATGGTCCTCTCTCCAAAGAAAAGGTATTGTTCTTCTGTCAAGACTAGGCTAATTTATTTGAGCAGAAGGCTGTTGAATTAATAGAAGAATGCTTTGGCAATTGTTGAACTTTTTACCTGTCTGCTCAGTGGCTCAGAACATCATTCCTTTAAGAGGAGCTAAATGAATAGGGTTAATCTGTAGGGAACTTGGTCTCTTTTGAGTTTAGAAAAACTTTGATCTTTTCTCTTCTCCAAACATGATGTATAGTCTGAAGTTTCTTTCCCTGCTGCTGCGTTCCTCTTGTTGCAGACCAATTGGCCACCATGGAGCCTTAAAGTTCTTCAATTAAAGGGATGTGGGACTTTTTAAAAAAATAAAAAGAGGAAGACTTGTAACAGTTAGTGAACAGCAGAGGGAAAAAGGGAGAACAGCCTTTTAAACAGCTTTTTCCTGCATTGTTAGCCAGTCTGCAGGCAGCAAGGCATGGGTTGGAGTAGTATAGAAAAGAGGCATGAATGCCCTACAGGTGGTCTGCTCACATAATCTACCCAATTTAAAGCATTTTCCTTTGCAGGACAATTGCATTACAAAACTCCCTTCTCTTTTACCCCTAATTGAAGCAAAGAACAATTATTATGAACAGAAAGTTTCTCTTAAAAAAATCCACTATTGCCTGGAACTTAGTGACTAAATTCTAGTATGTTTTCAGCACTAGGATTCTTTAGATTAGAACATGAGAAGGAAAAGATGCACTGGACACTACTTTTTGCTCCAGATATTTTATGCCTTCTGCTTATTTTTAAGATTAACAATAATTTAAAAGCAATTGATTAGCTTGTGTGTAATGATGAAAAGATAGCCCCAGGTCTCTTATTAGCTTGTCAATCAAGATAAGAGATGGGCAGCTGCCCTACTAATGACACAGGCATCAATCATCATTGGTGGGAAAAACTTTGTCCTACTGAGTTTTGGCATGATTATGGTGTCCCCTTCAGGAGTTCCCATAGACAGGAACTTCTAGTTTTATAAAGTTACTTACTCATGGGAGGGAGAGAGGGAGGTGACCCTACAAGTTCTCTGGACAGACAATACTTAAGTGGCTCATTTTTAGGGGGATATCTGGTGCTAATTTATGCAGCATTATATCAAAGCCTGTATTCACATACTTTGTGAATACCATGCAGCTCAAGAAGACTGTGACTTGCATGCCTTTTTCGTTCAGTAAGTCAGCTTGTGGTTTTAAAAGCATGCTTCCTACACCATATGCATCACACATAAAACTAATGGGGCATTACCTAGTACTGCTACCTTATGGGAAAAAAATCTCCATGTGGCTATGGAGGAGTTTCCTCCTAAAAAAAATGCTTGGTAGAGTCTCCCATTTTAGCATGACCTATTGGGCTCTACTTACAGTGGGCACTAGAATGAAAGGTTGAATAAATTTACTCTGAAGTATTCTTTTACAAGAGATTATTGCTTTATAGCTGCATGAGGTTGCTGTAGCAAGACACCAAGCACTGTCGGCAAAAAGCTGGACCATGGCTCTATGGTTTGACCTGCCTACGCACCAGTTGAGAGAACTTTATTATGCACACAGTTTAAAAAGCCCTTACAATTTTGTAATAACAGCTACGTAATTGTTTGAGAAATAGCCTGTCAACTAGTTTTGAGTCCTCAGACTGTCTTTTCAGCACAGGTATCAAGCAAAATTTTCAGCATTAATAGAGACTCATTTCCTGGTTCTAATAGGTGACTCAAAGCTAGTTAGCAACTAGCTTTGCTTTCAGCAGTGGGAAATGGGCTCAGGACTGTACAGTGACAATGAAACATGTTTCAAGCTAGAAGTCAAAACTCATGATTGGGCTAGAGAGTTTATAAGCACTATTGGCTTTAGAATAACAGAAGGCAGGCACTAGGAATACAACATAGAAATCTGAAACAAACCTTATTTGAGCTATTGTTTCTAAACTAGACAATGACATCATTTCACCACAGTTCATCAATGTTCAAAATTGTCAGTTTCCAGATGAAAATAAGCAGTTCGGTACTCTGAACTATTACAGAACAGTATAATGTGTGATGATAAACTAACATATGCCTAAAGTTACAAGGTGTTACTAAAACGCCCAGTAAAATTGTATGCATCTTTAAAATGGACTAAACCGATGTATCTGTAATTTATACAACAGTGCCGCCTACTGGCCAAATTATAATATACTGGTGACAAGTATACAATTAATTAATATGTGTATCACAGACTAGTTAATATATATATATATGTATCAGGATATATATTATATATATTTAAACAGCACTGATGCAAGAGTTTTATTATTTACAGCATTTCTATATAACTGATTACATGACAATTCTTGAAAAGTTGGATGTCTGCAACAATCCCCATGGACTTAATAGGAGGGTTTTACAGCTTAGCAGCCAAGCTTAGTTCAGTACATGGGAAGAACTTTGCTTTCTCTTTTTTCCTATCTCTTGGCCAACATACCTTTTCAACTTTCCTTTTCTTTCTGGATCCTTTTCCTAATATGGTCCTTCAAAAGAAAAAAACGTGGGTTGTTTATCCATCACACACAAAAGCTGACGCAGTGCTGTAGCTTTCTAAGGAACTCGTCCAGCTTCCTGTGGGCTTTTTTAATGAGGCAAAACTTCACAGGTGTGCTAGAGATTGCTGATGCTGTGGGGTTAGTTCCCTTGGAGCTATATGTTAGCCTCTTGGCCCCTGCTTCAAGTTTCCCTTGACATAAACAAGGCCTAAAGCTGCCACAAATGATTATCATGAGTTAGTGAGGCTGGAATTTGGGTTGGGGAGAGTTCTGTGTAGCTATACCTAAAAAGCAGAGCTGTGGCTGTAAGAACCAGGCATTCTGGGAGATTTAACTTGGCCCATGGCATAAAAAAACTTATTTACATAGTCAAAAGCAAGAGGTGCTTGAAAATAAATGTTGAGACAGAGTGTATGTGGGTATTGCAGAACCTCCTCACTTTAATATGGTAATACTTTAAAAGGCAAAGTTATTGTGGTATTTTCTTTCTCTAGAGTATTTTGAATGTGCTTGATGAACACTACCAAAACCCTCTGGAGAGAGGCAAGCAATATTGTGCCCAGTGCTGCATGAGGAAGGGAACTTAAGACTGAAGGGCAAAGTCAAGCACTCAAACTCTGAGGAGAGATGTCAAGTGTCCAAATTAGAGCAGGATTCTGAACTTGGTAATCCAGCTCCAAGTGAAGTCTGTACTAAAATTCTTGTTAATTTCAATAGAGTCAGGCAAACATTTGCTTCCAAGGCCCATGCACAGTCTTAAAATATGTAAAAGCTCCATAGCAGAAATAGGATCCATAGCTGAAGCCTATTCTGCTTTTCTCAAATACTACATAAAATGCTAGAGCATATAGGAATGCCTCTGTTAGGGTCTGTCTGGTAAGTTAATAGAGTGCAAGGAGCATAGAGACTAATGCAGGTAATATGCTCTGTCCAAAGTGGAGAAAAAGAGAGATGTAGGAGATCCAGAAAAGCCAAAAAGCTGTGGTGTGAAGGCTGCTTCAGGCCAAGAAGAGGAAGTCCAAGCTCACAGTAGAAGTTATGTCAAGTAAATGGATTCGTATTGGGTTTAGTGGGAGGAGGACAGAGGACAATTCTGACAAGATGGGACACTTTTCAATATGTTTATATTACCAGATATCTCCGCCTAGGTTTTTATAAGAATGCCCAGCACTGTATTTAACTCATAGCTGGTCACAGTTGCATTGAAGCAGGAATTGTGCAGTACATCACAGGAGCTATGATGGTGTGAAAAAAATAGTGTCTGCCAACCCTAAATCACATTAAATTATATCAAA